TAACCCTGATACATGGAGATAATCAGGGTTGTAGTTCGGGTGGAACGTGCGAACCAGTGTTGACTGGAAATGGCTGGAGCTTCCAAAGCTCACACCGACGGTGTTTGCACCACCCATGTCACATCACAAGGTTGGGTTACTGGGAAAACAGTCCTTCTTGTGTGCTCGTTGCTAACAGCTGTTCGGCAGCTGCGTGTACGGATTTAAACCCTTAGAAAATGAACTCTTATTGGATGACGAACAGGAAATACAGTTTTATAAATGCTTATTCTGTGATGAAAGGTGCAGACCCAAACATCAAGATGTTACCAGAGAAAGGGCAAAGAGGCTCACTGGGATAGGATATGACCTCAAACAGACGACATGGTCAGTGTTACAGAAATGTTTCACACGTTGGGCTAAATTCTAAAATTTACGGCAGGAAATTCCAAAACTGTCCTCTTTAATTCCCCCTTCAAGAAGAGCCGTTGCTGTGAAGTTCTCAACAGAGGCAGGAAATGCAGCGACAAAAGAAAATGTATGAGAGATAGAAGGAAGAGGAAGACGAGGGCTCAGGGGAGCGAGAGGAATGGAGACGGAGATCACAGGTCCCTCCTGATTCATCCTGATTACAAGGTTAGGTTAAGGTTAAGTGACACGGGCGAGTCCTGTCTCTCCTCCTCCTCCTCCCTCTGCTCATTTATAGGTGAGCCGGGACTCTTATTGGTTATGTGGCCCTGCCTGAAGTTATGTGTGGCTATTGTCAAGAGCGAGGACCTTTTTATTTTTTACACACAGCTGCTTACTGCTAAATAGTGCCTTGTCCAGAAGGGGACAATCTGGGCCTCTAATTGCTGTCACTGAAGCCTAGATTCATTATGTGACTTTCCCATTAAAATGTGAGCATTAATTTGTATAATGAAATATCACCCTCTGCAGTGTGTTCATTAGCTCTGGCCCCACACTGTAGTGCCACAGCCGCACAATGTTAGCTACCTAGAAAACTGTGGTTAATTTTGCTAATGGATATTTTCCCACTCACTGTTCAAGAGGAAATTAATACTGTAACATTAGCTCTTTAACTTTTGGAGAAATTTAAATTCACTTCATTCCTTTCAAGCTGGTGTTAGTCGCTCATTAATCTCTGCGTTGCGTCGCATAATGCTGCCTCGACCAGGCTCGGTAAGCAACTCCATTGTGTCACTCACATTACATTAGACGGAGGAGAGCTCGCCTGTCAGCTGTGAATCTGCCCGCATTGTCACCAGAGCGCAGAGAGGATCTTTAGCCGCTGTAAAAGTCATCTCGTGGATGTAATCAGGATGTCACAGCGGAGCTGGTACGATTAGGTTATAGGAGTGATTTAAAGGCCACATGTTGGGGATGCATCAAGCTCTTTTTCTCCCCGCGTTGCGTCTAAGCTCGACGGGCACGCGTCCAAGGATACATTCCACCCAAAAAAGACAACATCCCCGCTAAACCTTCTCACATTTGTCCCCAGGTGGAGGCTCCAAGCGAGGCCTTTAATTTTACTGTCTGTTTGAGATACGAAAGGACGAAAATAAAACGTACTGTGGATTCAATCAGACCGGCC